GGGTGACATCTTCCTTCTGACTAAACAGAGAACCCTATGTGGAAGACGCATCTCCAGTTTTTCCACTTGACTTTAACTTTGGTAAACTGAGATGGATCCTTGCTTCTCCTGATGTAACCTTGGGGTTTTTTTTTAATAGTTTTCCTTTTTTGTTGCTGTTTTCTTAAACCCTCAGATGTTCTCTTGATTCTCAAATTCCAGGTATGAGAACTAGACACAGTTTTCCATTAACGATTCCATAATAACTTCACTAGAATCAATCATTATTATTCCTCTATTTATACATCTTGGGATTCCAGTAGCCTTTTTAAACACTGTGTCGTACCATAATCTTATGTTTCAGCTGCTTATCACCCACATGATCACAAAGTCTGACGGGCAAGAAAGATCTTTTTTCCTGGCAGACTGGTGTTATAGTAGCACACACAGAGAGGAGACAAAAGTTCGCTTTATTCTTGAATGGCGTTGGATTAGTTTTCCATAAACTGTGAATGAGGCGCTTTCCTCGCTAGCTCCCAGCTTATTATTTGCAACATGGGTCAATACAGTGGCCTTTTGAAATCCGAAGCAAGGAGAGGACCTAAGCAAAAGAACCATAATTGCATTTAAACAGAGCTCATTGAATCTCAAAGTCGTTATCTTCACAAATTTTAATTTCCATATACATCGCTAAAGGAAAATGTCATCAGGCTCCCGCAGTAAATTGTTTGAAGGACTACACCGCCACATTTCCCTCGTTAACTGTTTGCGTGCAGGGTTTGTTCCAGCTTTTGAAGAGACAGCAGGGGAGTTGGGTAAATATGGCTGGAACAAATTGCAGTTGTGTCCTCTATTCATTAATCCCTCCAGCTCCTCAGAGTGAACGGCACAGCAGAATTGCTGGGATTAACCCCGAGGCTCTGCAACTTCATGTTCTTTCTCACACTGAAGTGGTTTATCCTGATTCTTATCTCCTCATCACAGCATTGGATGTAACATGGGGCTAATTATTAATGTGATTTCTTAATACAGAATTTTTATAAGGTCACTTGTAAGAGAAATAGGGACCTAATGAAAGCTTAAGAATTGTTTCCAGCATTAGCCTTACCCTGTTCAGTAAAAGCCTTATCAGGACAGCACTTGGCTGTCGGGCTCGAGGGGACGGCATCTGGTCCAAGCTCCTGCTCCAGAACAGAAGTAGGTGACGTGCTGCCTGCTGCTGCAGACTTTTGGGTGGGCCGGGTCTCTAAGGTGGTGATGTGCAGGTGATTGATGACTGTGGAAGGCAAAATCATAGTACTTTATATGTTGACACTCTGCCATTAGTTGAAAATTCCTGTCCATTTTCTACTCGCTAAGCTTTGGAGTTTTGAAATTGTACTGGACTAATTTACAGAGATATTTCATTCAGGAGCGCTGGACTCAGTATTGGGAAAAGGAGCAACGGGAGCCTTGCAGGTATGCTAGTTCTTGGGGGAAAATGCGCCCAGAGCAGCAGGGCAGGAACCAGTCTGTGTCTGACATGGTGCTTCCCCTATTCTTTTAAGTCCAACAAAAAAAACCCTATACATTTGCTTTTTAGAATGAACCATACCTGTCTTCTACAAACAGTTATAAAAGTGTAATACAGAAGGGCAAGACTTTTATTTGCCTTGTGCCGTGACCTAAACCCTGAGGAGTGACTTACAGATCAGCATCTGTGCACCTGGCTTTCTGCATGAGAGCCTGTAAATACAGAACAGCTCCGTCTGAGCCATCTGTACAGATTACTTCAGCTAAAAGTAATGGTCAGGACTGCAGCAAGCCTCGGTCTACCAGTCCCAACCAGCGTTCCTCTAAGCACACTTCACACCGCGCAGTCAAACAGATGGTGGGTAGCAAAGGACACAAGCAATACTGGTACGTTTCTGCACTGAGCATCGTAGGAAATGCAAATTCCCAGCTGTATATAAGGTGTCTTGTGTGCCGGTCTCTTCATCCATCACCTGAGAGCAATGCCTTGCTCCATCATGGAGACAACCCAGTAAGTGTGAGCGCCTTGCGTGTGCAATCCCCTGCGCTGCATGACCGAGGTGGTATCAAGCTGAAGCTATTTAAGGAAGCGTTTGCCAAAACTGTGACTTTTACAACGGGAAAAGCAATGTCTTGTTCCTTAACTTTGTTCTCTAGATGAATTAAATTATTTGGGCTACTTTTTTTCTTTGCAGAATAAGAATCTAAAATAGAATATAGGTTTTCTGACCAGATGGTTGAATTTTGGTAAAATTCTAATCAGGTGAAAATAGGCTCTTTTTGGTCTCCTGTGTAACAAACTAATTCTTAGAGTGTTTCAGCCCAGACTGAATCTTTCTAGTTCTTGTGATGATTTCTGCTTGGCAGAAAGTGATGTCTCTAAGTCAGGAGAGACCGTTTAGACAAAAATATTCCATTATACTCACTCACTCTTTGCTTGGAGGGAGAGAACAATGGCAGAGAAAGGAGAATGTTTCTTGCTCTTTAATTGAGTCTAACAGGCTATAAATACATTTTTCCCTCAACTAAAGTAGCAGAATGAAAGGCTTCTGGTAAAACTGAGTCTTCATAAACCATCTTGTATCCCACTGCTATTTGGAAAAGTGTCTGCACAGAAACACCTGTAGAAATCCCCTGGAGTAGTTTTAAGGCACTTTAATTGCTGATGAAGCCTTCCATTTCAGGATCTGCACTGATGCAAGGTTACAGTCGCAAAGTTTTAAACATCGTTTTCTTGGGGGTTGCACAAAGTTGCAGTTATTTTGCAAAACTTATTTTTTTTCACCTTGAATGTTGAACTTGATGAGCTCAGTAAAATACGAAATGAAGGTTTCTTCTATATCAAAAAAATGCTTGATGGCTAGCTTGCAAAATGAGCAGTTCAATACTCTTGTAAAGTTAGTCATTTTTATGACATTTCAACCATTATTTTCAGTGTTATTTCTCTTTCACTTCTGCTTTTTTATGCCAATATAAAAAAAAAAGATCTCCCATTGCTTAGATTTGATTACAGTAGTATAAGAAAATGTTTCAGTTCATCCTGGTTGGGTGAAATTTTTCTGGCAGGTCTTCAGCAAATGCAGTCCCTGCTGGTATAGCTGTATAGGCATTTCTATTTAGTAATCACTTGCAACTGTAAATTGTGATTTGGGACCTAGATTTTTCTGCACTGTTAACTGGTAATGGACAAGTATTTTCATGCATTTTCAAACCTTTTTTAACATTTTCTAATTTAATATTCAGCTCATCTTTGTTAATAGTTACAACCATTTAGCATAAAAATTGGGTTAAATCTTGACATACCTGATTTTTTTTTTAGTAATTCATTCAAACATATTTTGCTTTGTTCCATTAGCTAAATTATGCCTTTTGGCAAACAGAGATATTAGTCGCGTATGCCAAATATTAATGTCCTTTACATATGGCCATGTGGATATGGTAGTCATAATTACTGCTTGTGTTCTGTCTCTGTGCTTGTGTGTCTTCAAGGATTTGTGAAATACTTCACCTTTACAATAGGCTTCAGCTCCCTATTTGTTAAAACTAACAGGAGTGTTATAAAACAAGTGCTTTGTCTGTGGCTAATTTTCAGTTTAACTTACCCACTAATCTTAATTCTTCTCCTAAAAGGGCATGAATAATAATTGGCTTCCTAGCACAATTAAGATTCAGAGTTTGTGTCTGTGCATACACAATTTAAGTGCTAATGCATTCCCTTTTACTAGGGTAATAACCCTTCTTATTCTCATTATTCTTAATATACTTACTAAACATTTTTGGGGTGCATATATGCAGTTGTCTAAACAACCAGAATAAATATTCTGGGTGGAGTAGCCATCCCATTGGATTCTCTGGAAATATTTTTACAGAGTCACAGAGGGGCTGAGGTTGGCGGTGCCTCTGAGGCTATCCAGTCCAAGCTCAACTGGAGCGGATTGCCCAAGAACCTGTCCAGTTGAGCTTTGACAATCTCCAAGGATGGAAACTCCACAGACTCTCCGGGCAACCTGCCTCAGTGTTTGACCACCCTTGCCATAAAAACGTTTTTTCTTCGGTTTAAATGGAATTTCCTATATTTCAGTTTGTGCCCATTGCCTCATGGCCATTCGCTGGGCACCACTGAGAGGAACTGGGCTCCATCATTTTTGTTTGTACACATGAATAAGATCCCCCTGAGCCTTGTCTTCATTGGGCTGAACGAGTCCCAGCTCTCTTCGCCTCTCCTTGTACGACAGATGTGACAGGTCTTCATGTCTCTTCACTGGACTCACTCCAGTATGTCCCTGTCTCTGTTGTACTGGGGAGCCCAGCACTGGATCCAACACTCCAGGTGCATCTCACCAGCGCTGAGCAGAGGGGAAGGATCCCCCCCTCGTCCTGCTGGCAACGCTCTGCCAAATGCAGCCCATTGAGCTGTTGGCCCGCTTCGCTGCTAGGGCACATGCAGGTGCATGGTCAGCTTGGTGTCCACCAGGACCCCCAGGTCCTTCTTCAACTGGCTTTCCAGCTGTTTAGCCCTCAGTGTGTACTGGTGCACGGGGTTGTTCTTCCCCAGGGGCAGGCCTTTGCAGTTCCCTTTGTTGAACTTCATGAGGTTCCTGTTGGCCCATTTCTCCATCATGTCCAGGTCCCTCTAAGTGGCAGCACATCCATCTGGTGTATCAAGAGCTCCTCCTAGTTTTGTATCAAATGCAATGTTGCTGAGGGTGCACTCTGTCCCATCATCCAGGTTCATTAATAAGAATATACTTGCTTTCCTTGCGAGTAGGATTCCACTTCGTGGCTGTATGAATCGAAGCATTTGATTGTTTTCATCAGTAATGATAGTCCTCGTAGTGGTTAGCCAAAACTTAGAAGAAGAACATGTGTTCTGACTTGATGTACGTGCTATTTTGAATACATTCAAATCAATAAGATCTGTATTAAAGGGATTAAACTTGGGTTGTGTGATAGACTTCAGGATAATTATAAATAGAAATTGTTGAGTGGGGATATTCATAAGGAGAGCGATGCTGGCTCAGGTAAGGATGTGACTTGATGATTTCATCAAAGATTGGAGAAGTGATAATGACGTTCAATTAACGATCCAGAGAAATTTGACTCATTTGTTGGGTGAGCACATGCAAGCAGCACGTATTTCAGTATCATCAGTTGTGAGTCTGTATATCTAATATTGCACAGTGTAGGTCATAAAAGAAGATTCAGGGGCTACATGAACCATACATGAGATCTCAAGGCAATGGTGAGCCAATAACCATAACGTAAATGGTTAGTAAGAGTAAGGAAGTGGTTTTGGTATTAGTAAGTCTTCCTCCATGGTGTGTTGCCTTCCTGTGATGATTACCCCTAAAGAACAAAGGTGGAAAATAGGAGTGTTCAAAGGAGAACCATATGAACGCTTGAAAAGATTAGCAAGGATGCATGATAATGTGACATGTAATAATGTGCCATTCAATGAGCTCCATCTATTGAGTTTATTAATGAGAAGATAACGGGGTGATTTGATCAATTTGCATGTATTTACATGAGAAAGAGGAACGTAGGTGAGCAGACATTTTACTTGATTCAGTGGCTGAAAGTCATAGGTAATAGCAGATTCAGGTTGGAAATAACGTGAACATTTTCTGTGGTGTGAATTTATCCTCTAACTAAGGATAATTAACTTCCAAGGGCTATGGAAGATTGTCTGTCTCTGAAAGAGTCACATATTTTTCAAAATGACTTATTCATTCAAACAATGAGACAGGGAAGTCCTATGGTCCGGAATCAAGATGCTAGACAAGATAATCATAATGCTCCCCCTTGCCTTGATAGAATTAATCTCTTAATTAGACGTCCAGATTCCAGGGCACTCCTGGTAGCTCTGCCAATTGCAGTGAAATCTCTGACAAATCAATCTCTGTGCTTTGATTCTTTCTTCATCTGTAGAATGAGTGACTGCTTGGCTATATCACATGGAGGATGTTTTTGTTCATTTCAATTAATTAATTAAAATTAGTTATTAAAAAAATGACTTGTACAAGTATTTCACTCACCACTCCCTCATTGGAAGATGGGAAATAGTTGGTTTGCATTTATTCTCACCTCTTCTGATCTACGTCCTAGATTAACGAGTACCATGCCAGCCTTTGTGTGTACGCTCACTGCAGTGTCACACATTTCTATATGCCTAATGTTGGGGGGAGTGGGAGGGAGAACAGAACATGTAATTTTTCCATTACAAATTTTGTTGACTTGCTTCTCATTCTAGGACATTTAAATAAGGCTATTTAAGAAGTGAGTGACAAGTGCTGTCTTAGGGAAGAAACTAAAATGCATAATTTAAAGCCACACATCATCATCGTTTTTTATTTTTATCCTTTCTGTTGGCTGATACGGTTATTTGGATTGCTTGTAGCCATAAATCCACATATAGACTGTGTCAAAGAAGATCAAGGTCTCCGTGCTCCAAGCATAAAGTCAGAGCAAAGCTCCACAACAGATGGCCTTTTCTTTCCATTTCATGGACACCAGTTCTCACTGGGCAATTCATTATTTTCTGCAGTTGAAGCAGCTGTGGATTACTGTAATTATGGATTTAATATATCTCTGACAATCCAATGTGAATACTAATTTGAACTTTATACATCTCCTTGGAATCAGGTTAATTTTCTCATGATTATATAGCTTCTGATTAACTAAAGATGTTTGTGAGGCTAATATTTTTCCTACTATGGAAATAAATTGTGCATGGCTTGCAAAATAATAGTGTTGTTTTGGGTGTTCAGTCTTGTTGAAAGTCCTAGAAGAGAATGTCTGAGTTCCCCTGACGTTTTCAGATATCATGCTTTTGCTAATAACCTTGTTCTAAAATGTGAGTTTGATTTTCCTAGGATAGATGTGGATCAATAGTAAATTCTTTACTTGAATATTTATTTTAGAGAAAAAAGACACTTTTTAATGGAAATAATAGGCTAAGGGTACCAAAAGTTTGTATTACAGGAAAGTTCTACTAATGGGTTTGTGTTGGCATGTTTGTCCTTTAAATAGTTCCTTGCTTTAGAGGGCAAAATGTTTGTCTTGGTGCCATTATCCTCTTGAGAGTAGATTATGTTTTGCTATCATACGTTTTCCTTTTGAATAACTATTCATAGCTTCATGTCCTTATTCCAAGAGGTTTGCCTCAGCAAAGTCCCACTGACTTCAGTGGAGTTATTCCTGGTTCATGCTGATGAAGGAGAGGCATCCGATCCTAAATACCGAGTGTGAGATGTGAGAGTCGGGGCTGATGTACGGATATTTCTCTGAAATCAGTTGAAGTGGCACATGTGGGCCTGGACGCACAATTTTTGTATCTTCTACAGCCAGCCCCAACCTTTCCTGCATTGCAGTGTGAATAGGTTGAGAAGGTGGTTTGTCTGCAGTAAGTTTAGTTCTCAGGGAGGCAGGAACCCAAAGAATATTCTTTAACCGTTTCCTTCCTATAGTAAGCGCTTGACAGAGCATCATGATGCTAAGAAACGACTCTTGAAACGACAGTAAAATGGGAACAAATACTCACTCCCTGTGCTGCACCGTGTTTGAAAACAGCCTGGCTGGGCGGGGGCAATGTGCTCATAAAGTTGCACTGGTTTGCTCCTGGAAGCAGGGACATCGCTACCAGAATTAAGTGGGTCAGGGGGAGATTGACTTTCAGGTCTTTTATTTAATCTGAGATGCGATTTCCTTAATTTAGCAATCTGATTTTTTTTACATATGTATGTAAATATATATATTTTTGCACTGTACTTTTTTGAAATAAACAGGAAAGCCTTATAGCATCGCTACAAAAAAATCACTAATGGACTCTCTGGAATACATTTCTTGTCCACAACCTTGTTGTGCCATGTTTTTTACCATCCTATTGGGAGATATCTAGTACGTTAAGTGCGCTGGTCCTAGAATAATGAATTGTGTGGGTGTTTTTTGTTTGGTTGTTTTGTTTTTGTTTTTTTTTTTTTTAAAGATGTGAGTCCAGAAACCTGTATATAAAAGTATTTTTCCTAAGGAGTGCTAGTCTGAAATGTGGAATGTGAAATTCCAAATGGGATCATTATATATTTCCAATAGCACCTCTAGTTGAATTCTTTTCCATGAGCATTGAGATGATTGAGCTGTGAATGAAGGTGAGATGGTGGCAGTGACAGGCTGCCATGTCCGCTTCCCAGGAGCACCAAACACTTGCCTTGGGTCCAAGGGAAATCTGGAGATGCATCTTAATCCTGGAAGATTCTCTGAAATGCTTCATCTGCATGGGATTCAGCATCCTAATTTACACGGAAAGGTATTTCTCAGGGATCTCCTAAGGCTTAAGAGAATAGCATGAAAGATTTGTGTGTGCTGCTGATGTGATCAGTGGTACTGAGACTTTTAAGTACGGGTGTGTTTGCTGGAATGAGCAAGGGAGCGTTTGCTCCCTGGACTGCAGTTGATAGGAACTGAGTTAGCAGGTCTCCTTACACCTTGAGAGAACCACTTTGCTCTCTGCGCCTTACAAAGCTTGGTGCTTTTGTGTGCATAGAAATCATTTGAGCTTTTATCCCATTTTTTAGGCATCAAAGTTAAACTGACTAGTCTGTTGTTCTGTTTCTCTCCCTTTATACTATTTTAAAAGTAGCCCTGACATACTGCCTTTTCAAATAGCGTCCCGCCATCCTCTGTGGATTTTCAAATGCAGAGGTCGTTAAAGAGATTGTTTCAGCCCATTACCTATGTATACCTGAACGAATTTCATCTGGCCTAGCCAGCTGGAAAATATCTAATCTTTATAAGCACTTTCCAATGTGTTCTTTCTCTATTCTGTGTTGAGATTTTGGTTATTTGCCTCTGATATTAGCTGCCAGTTGAACACAGCAAGGTAAAGATAGTGAGTACTGTAGCAAAAAAAGACATTAAATACTTCAGCTTTTAGGGCATCATCTGTCAATAGCTTTTCTACTCTGCTGAGCAGCGGAGCAACATTTTGCCTGGGTTTTTTCTTATTACAAATGAACTTGTAGAACATTTTCTTGCTACCTTTGCTAGCTCCGAGTCATTTTTTGATTTAGTTTCCATTTGTTTCTCAGTGTTTGTTATTCTTTTATTCTCACATGGTATTCTGACTGTGTATATGTGTCCTTCTTGAGTTTGAGATCACTGAGCAGCTTATGACTTAGCCAGGTTAATTCTTTGGGTTTTTCTGCATTGGGATCTTTTTCACTCACATCATTTCTCTAAGGAAATGTTTGCTCCCGTCTTTTCTCCTTTGACTTGCGGCTCTTGGTCCTTTTGTACTGTCAAGCCTCAGAGATCTGTAAGTGTCCTTCCTTTAAAGTCCTTTGTCTTTATTATGTTGTTTTCTCCCTGAAGAATTAATCGTCACCTTCACACAAGTTGTCTTCTGCTTCCTTATCTTAGGGGGCTTCTCAGTGCTGGACCATCCCACACCCAAACTGTGGTCTTTGTGACTATCACCAACACTCTCTAAGGTTGCTGGACAACCTGTGCTCTGAAATATGTTTCCTATAACATATCTGAGTAGTTGCAGTACTTCATGACATCTCGTGCTCTGGTCGATTATTCCAGTTCCTGGTTAAAAAACCCCAACCTTTCTACTTTATTTCTCATTTGGTGTCTGCTAGACCTGCGCTGTGGTAGTGCCCTCTGCTTCTCTTTTTTACGTGATGACTCTCGGCAGGTCTGTCTTCCTTTTACAGCCTTAACCTAGAAGAGCAAATACTCTCTTGATGTGCAGGGCACTTCTTTATTTCCATAGGCTCCCTTCTCAGTAAATTATATCATCTGTATTACCAATCCAGTCTTGTGAATTATTTATTGAGCCTTTCTTATAACCCAATTATATTGTAGCTTTGATACTGTACTGATTTCCTTCCAGCTCCTTTTGTGTATTCCCCACGATTCTTGTAGAGATGTCTAATAGGATCCACAGATCAATCCCACTTTACTCTTCATTTCGTTTTCTTCCCCTGAGGTTATCACAGCCAACACTACCTTCCACAGAGTTTACACCCATGTTCATTTGTTGTTGTTCAGGCTTTTCTTTGTCAAACTCTCTCGATCCTGCTTAAAAAATTATTTCCCTGAGGTAAACCAGGAGATGAACAAAGTTGAAATGCCTCTTTTTCATAAGGTGAACTCTGTTCTTGCCCAGCAGTTCGTGTTGTACCATCTCTGAAGAAGGAAACTTGTTATAGTGACCCACACGTCTTTGGAGGGGAGAGAAATGTGTGAAAAGGAGAGGCAGCAAGACGCAATAGAGGAATCTTAATGGTTTTTTAAATCCTTCATTGGTGTACATGCTACACCAGCAATACCGCACTCTAAAATGGATCCTGTATTTTCCTGTGGTCTCTGAATGTTTGCAGTAGCTGGGCAGGCAGAATGAATTGTCTCAGGAATATTAAGATCATAAATTTGTGGTTTCCCTCCTCTCCTCGTAAATCACGGGAGTCGGTGTGGAGTGTGGGTCTGACGCAATAAAGTCTCCGTCTTCCACTTTTTAAACTGGAAACCTGTGTTTATAAATAATGGACTTCCAGCTAATTAGATTCTTCAGTTGCTTTATGTGCCAGCATTCTGATCTTCCCATAGCTCTTCTTTGCAGCGCTCGTTTTTCCTGGGGTCGTGGAGCTGCTTAACACTCGCCGTCTTAATTAACGCATTTTGTCAGAGAGTATTGGGTCACTTCTTGCATGTTTACGCATGTGCCCATGAAGGAGCATCTCCTCTGTGTGCAAGCGTTTGGGTGGAAAGCCATGTAATTCGGGAGCCATCCCTGATGCTCTGCCATCCTGCTTTTCCTACCCAACCCCACGGCGGGGCAAACAGCAAGCAGATTCCCAGGTCGTTGCCAATAACACAATTTAATGAGACCTCCTTGAGTGTTTCCAGTGCCAGAAATACGCAAAGTCCCTGCATTTCCTTTGGTGAAAACCTGAATTTTCAAGGTCAGGTGGGTTGGTGAATCCGGGCTACGGGATGTGTTGAGCTGTAGCAGCCTCCAGAACGTGATGAGGATGAGCAAGGATTCAACTGTCCCTTATGGGTATGGTGGTCTTCCACACACCAAATACTCTACTGGGTGTTGAAAGCCTTTCCAAAATTACCCAGTGTAACTGTGTAAGGAGACTGCTTTTTCAAGCCGCCACTTGACTTTTGAAGTAGCTTCATAAAGAAGCTTTTAATTAACCATTTTAGACCTTTACTTCTGCACATACAAAGGAGCTCCCAGAAGGATACACTTCAGAAAAGCAAAGCAAATTTTAGCAGGCAGTTAGCATAATTTATAAAAAGAAAATTTACTTTGGATATGTATTTCTCGTCAATTAAAAAATGTGGGCAAATTTGGTAGTTATAGAAGGATCTGGCTGCGTTTGAGGGTCAGGTTAGTACGCAGTCAGGGAGTTCAGCATTTCCTGATGTGATTTTTGTGTAGGGTTTTTTTTTTTAATGAATAGAGAAAAATAGGGGGGGGGGTTGTGAATAAGCTCTGCACGTATATTTCATTGTATGTAGATATTTTAAATTTATTCTATATATATGAAACACTAGTTTTCTGTGGTAGTCTGAAATACAGTAAAGTCAATGAAAGTATTAAAGTCAATCTTTTATTTAATTTGGAGAAGGTGCTTCAGACTGAAAACAGATTCGCAGGGGATGCTGCAGTTCCAATTTTATAAAAGAGATGGATGAATTCCTGCCAGAAAATAGGAGGTTATTGTGACCGAGAGAGGTAA